TAATTCTACGTTTTCTACCTGGATTTACTGGCGGTATTGTGACTACCGGCTAGACTTCATCCACCATCTCTGTCTCTCCCACCGCAACCTCCTCTATCTCCCCTCCACCTCCTCTATATCCCCTCCGCCTCCCCTATCTCCTCTCCACCTCCGCTACCCCCTCACCTCCAACCCTTTCTTCTCTCTCCCTAACTCCTCCTCTTCTATCTCCCCTGCTGCTGCCACCTATCTCTCCTCCATCTTTTCTATCTCGCTCACCACCACCACCTCTATCTCTCCCACACCACCTCTATATCTCCCGCCACTTCTTCTTCCTCCTCCTCCTCCTCTATCTACCCCACGATTTCCTCCTCTTCTTCCATGTCCCCTTCACCTCTTCTACATCCCTCGCCGCCCCTCCTCTGTCTCCCTCGCCATTTCTTTCTCCATCTGCTGCAACACCTCTTCCTCTAGCTCCCCCAATCACCTCCTCCTCCTCCTCTAGCTCCCCCAATCACCTCCTCCTCCTCCTCTAGCTCCCCCAATCACCTCCTCCTCCTCCTCCTCCTCTATCTCCCCCACCAGATCCTTCTGTATCTCCCCCATTACTTTTGTCTCCATCTCCTGCACCACCACCTCCTACATCTTCCCACCTCTACTAGTAGCGTATGCAGTCTCCTCGTGATTGTCAGAAAATCGTCCAAAATAAGGTCGAATCCTACACGATGTTATCCTGTGCCGTGGTAGCTCGGCCTTCTGTTGAGCTCTCGCTGTGTTTTCTGCACGTTAGCTAAGCGTTCTCTTGTTTGTCTGCTTTTACACGCGGCAATCGCAAGACGGGAGAGAGAGTCTGCTTGTAAGTAAAGCCGCGTCCTTGTCGTTCTCCTCGCGTTTTGTTAATTTTTCGCGCGATCCGGCATGGGAATGAGATACGTTCGCATTGTCTGACATTGTCGGCAGCTTATAATAAGGTAGAGGTTGCACACGAACGTCGTTGTTCCTGGGGACGAGGTTGCCTTCACTTTTAACCTTTTGCAGGTCACCGCCAGGCGGCTCTGGAAGCACATCTACGATAAGATGGGCGGTCACCCTGGCAACACCAGTGCTGCGACCAGCACGCGACGCCTGTACGAGAAGTAAGTCAGCGTGTTAAACATAGGTGGCGCCATGTGATTGTTTGGCAACCCTCAACATAGGTTAACATCGTGATACATTGCTTCATCCATAGTTTGTTACCCCTTTTGTAGGCCTACCATGTACATTGTAGCAGGAGTAGATAATAGGGAAGGAGTGTGACATCAATAAACAAGGGAAATTCGTCATTTACTAGCCTTTAAAATACCCTTTAGCGATTTACTACGCGTAACTCATCCAACCTTGAGCCTCAAATCGCACACCAGTAGATAATAATATAAAAACATTCGCCTAGCCATCAGTGCGAAATCAGTTTCTCTCCAGATACACAAGTCAATCCCCGGAGAATCACAGACTAAAACGACGACGCTGTGATAAACGATCCATTCCGCATTCCTTGCCATCAACTGCGAGCCCAAGTGCCCGCCATATGTCAAACAAAAGGCAGCTAACTAGACGGCGCTAGTTGCTAAACGCGGTTGAGGCCATGTGGCTGCCGCTGGGAGATTAGGCATGCAACCAGCATCAAGTCGCAACACTATCGCGAGAATAACCGTTTTGACTCACCGGTACATCCAGCTACATACCTGTCTACTGGCATTATAGCTGCAGCCCCTACGCAACGCAGCGGCTCGCGCGTACAAGCAACGCAATCAGACACAGATCGGCCAAACTCTCCCGCGAGCTAATACATTGCCCGACCGATCCAATTGCGCGCTTAGTATCTGCCTTTTGGTTGAATATAGTCGGGCAATCCGGACTCGGATGAGCCAAAGAATGGATAAATCGTCGTCGTACGTTTTATGTACTGTCATCTCCGGGATTGCTTCGTGGTATACTAGCAGGATAACTTGATTCGCACGATGCTAGTCCAATTGATAGTGGCATGTGTCGTAACTTGTACTCCAAATCGGCTGAGAGAACTGAGACTTACGCGTCAAGCTAATATCGTAGGTATTTTAAGGGTCTAAATGTAAATGATCGAATTTCCTCTCATGTTTATTGATGTCTACATTTCCTTCCCTATATCTACTCCTGATAGTATTGTGTGATATATATATATATTATACTTACCGCTGGACTCCGCTGCGCTGGTAAAATCGGCTACCAACTCACTACACTTATAGGAACACAATAGGGAACATGGTTAACAAATCGACCAATAAACATGCACAACAATATCAATATTTAGTAAAATCAGTCTATATAAATAATAAGACCACTGGGAAAAAAACCTGTTCCGTTATAGTACATTTATAGAGCAGCACCAAAAGCCCAACTTAGAACCTGGACATAATAAATATGTGTGAACATAACAAAAAGATTATTAATTATAAAACACATGTACGAATGGTTGGACTTTCATCTTCAAAAGCCTCTGATAAACAATAGTTTTTCGTGTATTCTCCTCTGTGGAATATATGTATGTAAGATCCTGGGCGACCTAATATCTGAACTCTTGCACCTCCCCACAGGCAGCTATAACCATATGTGAGAGCGCGCGTACCACGGCTAATAAAAGTAACTTCATAATAGTACGTATTATGATAGAGACCAGGCCACGCCGAGTGGTCGGTGTCCACTGGGATATTGTTCAGTGAATGCTGGCGCGCACCGAACCGCCCACGCCATGCACATTGAATTATTAAGAACATTTTTGTAACGTGAATCAGAAAATGCATACTTTGAAGGTGTACACATCATTCATGAGATACGCTAGCAATCTGAAACTGAATCTCTGAACTCAAGAGTTGAGTAGCTAACCTCTGATGACTTGAGTCCTGGTTATGCTCTGTTTTTAGTATGATTTTCGGTTCGGTTCCTTTCACAATACCAGCAGGCCTTGATGAGATCATGAGGTGAGGGCAAAAATAGTCATGAGGTTTTTCTGTCTGTAGGCAGCACGTGCAGTGAGTCTATTCGAATGTGGAAGATTGACGAATTAACCGACTTTTCGGTTGAGTTTCACGTTACCAGTTTTTTTTTCATCCTAGGAACACTCCTCTCCGGTTATAACAGACTGGCCCTAGTAAAATTGCATCCAGATCGCTTGGGCGGTTTGGCCGCCTATAGGGAAGATACATAGATACATACATACATAGATAGATACATACATACGAACTCAAATATATATTAGATATATATATATATGTTTATGCGTGTATGCATAGTATGTGTCTGTATGTGTGTGTGTGTGCGTGCGCGCATGCGTTCGTGTGTGTGTTTGCGTGCATGTGTGTGTGTATATGTGAATGCACGATGTGGTGACCTTATAGGTCTATCCATGCTTATAGACCTACCTATGAATTACTATGTTTACCTCAATAAACCTGAGCTCAAAAGCTTTATACACTTCTGGCTGTATGTATGCGCGTGTGTGAACAGTGTACATGTGGTAGGTATACTGTATATGTGTATGTGAATGTATACTGACAGTTGCGCTTGTTTTCTAGGTTGTTGCTGCTGTATGAGCAACACAGACGCGGTGAACCACTCAGTAAACCCATACTGACACAACTCTGCCCCAAACTCTCTGCCAAAGTCGATACTCAAATCTCTGCGGACCAAGAGCAAGATACGGCCAAAGAGAGAAAGGTAGATCTAGCGCACATCACACACCGTATAGAAAGTTTTTCTGGGTTGTTTCGCTCTGTGGTGGTATCTCTGTGTACACGTTAGTTATTGTGGTGCAGACGACTTTCCAAGAGTGGACCTATCCATTACATATGATTAATAGGTAGCTTTAGTCAATCATTTTTACGAGAGGACGTTCTAAAAATGGTGCTTAGTAACAAAGTGCCGTAGAATTTTGGGCGTGCAAACGTGCAATATTCATATGAGCTGATGCAAAAGAGTGCATTTATACATGTGTATTGTTATCTGCTTGCTTACAGAAAGGACATAAGCCACACATTCACGCTCAGGAGCAGCAGTGGAAAGAAATGCAACTCGCTCATGGAAAGGTGGGCTTCTCCCACACCCCCTTGCTTCACTGTCTCACTTTCCCCCCTTCTGTCAGTTCTCTCTCTCTCTCTCTTTCTCTCTCTCTGTCTCCCCCCTCCATCCCCCGCTCTCTCTCTCTCTCTCTCTCTCTCTCTCTCTCTCTCTCTCTCTCGCACACTCACCTATTGTGTTTTCTACTGTAGGCATGTCACACTGACATTCTCGTTTGTTTCACTACGGGCGCATCACACCGACGTTCTTGTGTTTTAGGCGCGTCACGAGGCGATGATCAACCAGCGGCTGCAGGTGACCGCCGCTCAGTCCGCCATCTTCCAGCCGATGCTCTTGGATCGCCATGGCGACAAGCAGAAGACGGGCGTCGGTCTATCGTCTCCCGTCTCCCTCGCGCCGCAGCCGCCGCACAGTGCAATCAAGACGGGTGACTCAGCGATGCGATCCCACCATCGTCTGACACTCCCCGCCTCCGGTCGTCACGGCGACCGCACACCTTCGGACTCAACCCGCCGAGCCGCCGTCGCCCTGGAGCACGAGCGGACAGCGCCCCCTGGCGGGACGCTTGCCGCTGCGGCGATGTCGCCGTTTACGTCGCGTCAGCCCCCGCACAGCCGCGCGGGCGCCGCGGCGACGCATCGCGCTGCGGCCGCTGCGTGGCTCGCGATCCCGCCCGCCCACGCGTACGTCGTCGCCGCGGCGGCGCGGCCTCTCTCGTACGGCGGCCGCGCGACGGAGGAGGAGGAGGAGGTGCTGGACCTGAGCACGAGACCACGGGCCTCCTCGCCCCCGCCGGGCCCCTCCTCTTCCCCGCCGGGCCCCTCCGCACGTGACGATGCCGCAGCCAGCGGTAGTAGTAGCGGCGGAGTGAAGCGTAGGCAGACGGCGGAGGAGGCGGCGGCGTGGCGGTCGCGCGGTGGCGGCGGCGGTGGCGGGAAGGTGTTGCGCACGGGAGACAAGATCTCCAGTATCGCCAGCAGACTGTTTCGCCTGCAGCACGGCGGCGAGGACGGCGGAGCGGCGGAGGCGAGAGGAGGAGGAGGAGGAGGAGGAGGAGGGACGTCGGCGCGCACGAACGGAGTGCACAGCCCGCACGACGGTCGTCGTGGCGACGGCGAGGATGCCGCGAATCGTCGGTCGCCGCCCCGCAGGTCTTCTTCGCCGCCGGCGCTGCGCGACCTCCAGCCGACCTCTCACGACGCGTTCTCTGGCGGCGGGGCCGGGGGCGGCGGCGGCGCGGGCGTGTCCTCCATCTTTCCTCAGCACATGTTCCCGAGTGCGCAGGTGTATCAATACCTGATGGCACAGCAGGCTGCTCAGATGCAGGCCTTCCACCCCGACCAGCTGATGCACCAGGGGGCGCCGGCAATGCACGCGGCAGCCTACAAGGACCTGCTACAGCAGGGGGCACCTGCAATGCACGCAGCCGCGTACAAGGACCTGATACAGCAGGGGGCGCCAGCAATGCACGCGTCCGCGTACAAGGACCTGATACAGCAGGGGGCGCCAGCAATGCACGCGGCCGCGTACAAGGACCTGCTCCACCAGGGGGCACCACCAATGCACGTGGCTGCGTACAAGGATCTGCTTCACCAGGGGGCACCGGCGATGCACGCAGCAGCGTACAAGGACCTGATACAGCAGGGGGCATACATGGGCGTACTGCCTGGAATGCCTAGTCCCATGCTGTATCCGTATTTGAATAATAAGTGAGCATACATGAGTGCGGTGATGGTGGCACTCTACCTGTCTGAAATTGAACATACCATGTTAACCCCCCCCCCCCATTTCCCCATGCACGTGTGTGTCAGTCTGTCTGTTTGTTTGTTTGTTTGTTTGTTTGTCTACATCCATGTCCCTAAGTAATCACACAGAGCACAACTGCAGTAGGAGCCCATGTCTAGAAGGAGGCGCCATTTATGCTGATGATGATATAGGTGGTACCATCGGTAATGGTGATGATATAGATGGCGCCATTGGTGGTGATGATAGTGTAGGTGGTGCCATTGGTGGAGATGGTGATATAGGTGGCGCCATAGGTAATGGTGATGATATAGATGGCACCAATGGTTACCAGCTTTGTTTACATCATCAGTCCAATGCGGATGGACAATGTCTGTGGTGTTGCCTGTTTCCTGTTGTGGCATGGCTAGATCAATATTAGCTGCGACCTAGAGTCTATTTATGACCTTGTATAGCTGTAACCTTGGGTCTAACTGCGACCTTGGGTATAGCTGTGACCTTTTGTCTGACTGTGACCTTGTGTCTAACTGTGACTATTGGCATAGCTGTGTTGTCTGGATGGATGGGGGGTGGGTCACAAATCGTGTGCATGGTGGGTTCTTGTGCCAGCTCTTGTTCAAAGATTTACAACAACATTCGCTCGCAGGGTTTCGCGCTCCTGTCTCTTACAATCCTGCTTCGTCACAGAATTCGACAGTGACGTCACACACTGGCGAGCCATTGACGTCACGGTACTAGACGGTGATGTCACAACATGGCTATCCAATGACGGCACGAGATGTGCGGGTCTTATCGCGCGGGTAATAAAAGAATCAAAATGGAGCAGGTTGGGTTGGAGTGGATGCAAAAGCCATCGAATTGAGACTAAGATTAAATACAGATTTTTACTTGTACATAGCAGATCGGTAGTTTATATTTTAGATGGCTATTATCATTATCATATATATCTATATATCTATATATGAGGAGAATGTGAAGTATTATTATTATTATTTAGTTAATTACATTATAGCCATTGTAGTGAAATGCAAAAAACCATCATGGGCAGGGGATCAGGTTTAGGTCCTGGTACATTTTGCATATTAAATAACACAAACACGCACGCACGCACGCACACACATAGGCACCCACACACACACACAGACAGACACTATATATATAACCGTGTGTGTTTGTTTGTGTGTGTATAGATATGTATATATTTGGCGTTGATTATTGTTAACATTCTGTTTTACTATAAAGTTAAGCTCATCGCGTGGTGCATTTATGAATCATTTCACTTTTGACACAAATAAATTGTCTTCGTACCAAATGTGTGTTACTCTTGTTCGTTTTATGACAATATATTCGCCATAGGCACACACAGCATATAATATAACATAGGTAACATACATGAGCGCACACGTACACACGCATAACATGTACATTCATAAAACATGCAGCGCCGACGTCGTTGTAAGCAATAGTATAGCTAAGCCATCAGTTTTAAAACATTTTTAAACAATATTTCTAATGAATGTTGAACCATAAAACTTTTTATGTAGCGTAATTTTAACCTATTTTAACTGAAAATAAAAATAAAATAAAAGAACCTAGAGTAATGTATCCCCTTAAATACCACATAAACGCGCATAACACGCATCTACTTGAGGTATATACATTCGCACCCCATGTACACACCCCACACCACGCGCACGTACGCAACATTTCAGACGTTTATTACGTATATACTATATACACGTGATATTTTTACGTATATTACGTACATTATTACGTATATACATGTACGTATATTCACATTATGTGAACACAGAGACATCTACTATATACGTCACAACGGGCGTGACGTTACACCAAGAGTGAGGAGAGCGGGCAGCCGAATTTCTAGGGAAAACCAAAGATTTGCTCTTGATATAATATATATATACTTGATATATACTTGATATATACAATTCGGTTGTTTTACACATCTCAATATCCGTATCTACAATCTACATTTACGTACGATATTCATTTTGGCACCAGTTTTTAGCTCATCTGACATAGTCAGATGCAGCTTGTAGAATCGCATGATCGTCCGTCCGTGCGTCCGTGCGTCCGTCAACAGTTGGGCACAAATCTTAACCGCTAACCGTCGGTCACGATATTCGGGACGGTGGGCCGGGGGTGTGTGGTGATACCGACAACGAGGTTGGGATGTCGAAGCCTGCACGGGGTCAAGGTCAAGGTCAAGAGGTGTAAAAGAAGGGCGGGACCATTCCTCCTTACATTAAGGTATAGGGCGAACTCGCAGAATTGCGGCACAAAATCTAACGGCTCGACTAGCTCTCGTGATAGTCGTGTATGCATCCCATGTACGAAAAGCCATCACTGTGCCGAAATGGGAGGTCAACTGGTCAATGGCACAGGGCAGATTTTAGACATTTTTCTTGCATGGACACTGGTCTGCCGAGCGCTGTGAAAAACTTTTTCTGATCACGAGTGACCTACATCTCCTTTGTATGGCATTATTGAAAGGACATGAATCTACCTTTCTGTCTGACATGCCGAAGAGTAAGTTCAGATACACTTTTGACCTCAAGGAGGAGGGCTTTAAACTATGGAGTTTGTTGACTGTCTGTTAGAAGAATTTGACTGCCGGTGGGTTGCTAGTAGAATCTATAACTGCCTGCAGGTGGATGCTATGCGGCTACAATGTCACCAGTGAATTTTCAAAATAGCTAAATTTGGTTAAAAGGAATGTTTATGTCTCCTTAATCGTATAATTTCTAATGCATTCTCGCTACTGTCGAGTATGTTACATGTAACGCTATGCACTGCCAGTGGTACTGCGAGGCATGTGTTCGGTGTGACTGTGGAGTTTATTGCCTGGCGTTAATTGTTCAGCAGGTTGGGCAGCTCCTCTATTGCAGCCTGTAGGCTTGCGTAGGTAAATGGGATGAGTGCTTACTTATTCTGTGCTTGCAGATAGTTGTTTGCTACTGAGTAGATGCGTAGCTTCCAGATCTTTAATCTGAGCACTTAAGACGTACGCGCCATCTCGCTTGGCAACTTTCATACGATCCCAACGGAACCTATCTCTTTGAGAGCGTCCTGATACCATCGCCTGTGGCATTGCACTTGTTCGGGCGTGTATGTGACACATTTGGCTTGGACTAACAGGGTTTACTCGCCCACTCGACCAAGAGTCACCGCAGTAGACGTTAGTGAGCGCCTGTCGCTCTGCGGCACTTTTGTTTTGTATTTGTTGACAGGGTATTTTTATGTTGTTTAGCTATTGCTATATTGTTTTGTATTGTAGCTATAGGTATATTGCTGGTAGCATTCTTTGTGTCAGATGCGGTCAGGGCAATATTTTTTCTTGTATACGATAATACATTGTCATTTCGATACAAAGTTGTATATAGCGTAAATAAACACATTCTATTTATTGTCGTCGTTGCTGTTCGCACATGCGCACAAACGTGTTCTGCAGCCGGTTTGCGACCGGTTTTACGTGTGGGACCCTTAAGCAGAACAGCGTGCAGGCAGGCAACACGACCCACATACGCTGCATATGGATGTTTGGCTCTGTCCGGACGCTGGTGTTAGCACGCGCGAGACTGACTGGCACATCCAGTCGCGCTATCTATAGAAGGTAGGCCGATGTTTTGAAGTTAGAATGCTATGAGCTGTAATAGCATATATAGTTCTTATAATACTTGTCTAGCGTGGGAGCTAGCTCACGAAATGTGTTCACTCTCTAATCTTTTCAATTATCTCCCCCTCACTTCCATCTTTACTATCTATCTATATCTATCTAATGCTATCTATCTATCTATCTATCCTATCTTATCGTATCTATACTATCTATCTATCTATCAACACTCCCACGGCCCGCCACATTCTGCTAATCTATCTATCAGTTCTGTCTGTCATCTGTCTGTCTATCTGTCTGTAGTCTATCTAGCTATCTATCAATCAATCTATATCTCTATCTGTCAATCCATCCATCCATCAATCCATCTTTCCATTTATCTATCTATCTGTCTGTCTGTTTCTCTTTCTTTCTTTCATCCTTGTTTTCTGTATTTTTGTGTTTGTGTATCTCCTTTCCTCCACCTCGCTCTCTCTCTCTCTCTCTCTCTCTGAATCTCTCTCTCTGATCTCACTCATCTCTCCTCTCTCTCATCTCTCTCTCCCCTTCTCTCTCGTCCCTCTCCCTCTCTCTCTCTCTCTCTCGCTGTCTTCTCCTCCTCCTCTCTCTCTCTCTCTCTCTCTCTCTCTCTCTCTCTCTCTCTCTCTCTCTCTCTCTGTCACTCTCTCTCTCTCTCTCTCTTCATCCTCTCTTGGTTGAGTCGAGCTAACGAATTTTAATGAGAATAAAACAAGAAGCAATGTCCCACTACAATTGACTTTACGTTTACATCAGGCCGCGCTGTCACCACTATCACCATCTGCTGCCATCGTCATCAACAATGCCGAGCAGCTGCAGCATCAATGGACAAACATCTAAGTCTGCATCACCACAAGCTCAGCCTGAGGCGGGCCTACCTCAATCGTCGTACCATGGATTGCAGACAGACAGCGAAGCGATGTCGGGTGATGCGTTGAGTATGCAGCAGGAAATTCTGGACGTAAACACTGCATTAGTAACGGCTGCCGGATTAGGTGACACTGACGCAGTCACCGCATTGCTAACATCTGGTGCCAGTTTCGAGCACGCGGATAAGGAAGGCAAGACAGCTTTACTACATGCTGCCAGCGGCGGTCACACAGACGCAGTCACCACATTACTAACAGCCGGTGCAGGTGTAGACCACGCGGATAAAAAACGCATGACAGCTTTACTACACGCTACCTGCGACGGTCACACGGACACTGTCAACGCGCTGATAGCCGCCGGTGCGAGTTTGGAAGCCAGCAGTGACGTTGGCTGGCCGCCGTTAGTCTACGCCGCCTACAGAGGTCACGCAGACGTCTTCACGGCGTTGCTGGACGCCGGTGCCGACATCGAACATGGCGGCAACGCCGGCCGCACGGCGCTGGTCAACGCCGCCGGCGGCGGTTACATGGACATACTCGCCGCTCTACTGACGGCCGGTGCGCGCGTCGACCACGGCACGGACTCTGCCGCCACGCCGCTGCAGTACGCCGCCTTCAACGGTAAGACGCGGGCCGTGGTGGCACTGCTGTCGGCAGGGGCAAACGTGCATCATCGCAACAGCGAAGGCACGACGGCACTGATGGTTGCCGCCGGTGTCGGTCACGCGAACGTAGTGACGACGTTGCTAGAGGCTGGTGCGAGCATCGAGCAGCGAGATGATAAAGGACATGCGGCGCTCGTGCATGCCGCTAGGAACGGTCACGACGACGCGCTCGCTGCCTTACTGAGCGTAGCAGCGCGACGAAGCGCCAACGGCGACGCACGACGAAGTGCCGATGACGACGACGCAGGGCGAGCGTATGACGCGCGACGAAGCGCCGACGACGACGACGTGAGGCGAGCGTATGACGTCGCCGTACGTCAGGCACGTCAGATAACGCTCAACGACGGCTTCCGGAAAGCCGCCGGCGACCTGCTGTCGTATCGCTATTTTAACGAGCTACCGGATGACTGTTACTGTGGTGACGTGGAGAGTATGGCGTCACGCGTAAACGATGTGACGTCACCGGGACAGGTTAGCAGCGTGCGCACACTGACGGATGTGTGGGAACTGGAAGCTATCGGCAGGTTGAGGCATCCTGAGGAATGCGCACAGATACGGTTAGCCGTGCTCGAGTTAATAGAGCGAGTGTGCGAGGAGGTTTCTGCAACAGCTCCAGATTTCGCCTGTAAGCCCGTCCTTGTTGGTAGTACGGCTAACGGTACCAAAGCTGGTTTGCCGGACGAGTACGACTTTATGTTTGAATTAGAAAAATTTACTGGTAACGTGTTAATTGAAGAAACAGAAAAACCTGGCGTTGTTCGAGTTAAGGATTGTAACGAATTCAAACATCTCTCGGTCAATCTCAAGGAACAATTCGTGAAAATATTATGCCAAGCTGTAGCCAAGGTAATGAAAAGTGCACATATTCCACTGAAATTCTCTAGGACATCGCGTGTAGTGGAATGGAATAAGGTTTGTACGCAGTTCAATTTCGTATATGTCGCAGGCAAAGCGTACAATAACCTTCCACTATCCGTAGATATCACGCCATCTATCCACGTGTCGGGCAAACCAGCGGGTGCGACTGACCGATTCCCTGCTGACTACCATTACCACGTAGTCCCGAAACACGTAGTGGGCTCCGACGAATACTGGTTAATATGTAGTGCGAAGGCCGAGAGTTTGCTTATTACTGAGTTTCCCCCAGTCTTTCGACAAGCTCTCATTATAGCGAAAGCACTATTAGATCCGCGAACACAGGACTATGAAGAAAAGATTCTAAACGTAGCAAACAACGAAAAGTTAAAGAAAAGTGTGTACGTATATGGGTTGCGGGCAAATGGCATAGACGTCATTCGGCTATTTATTGCCACTCGGTCTAAACCTAAGAGTGTGATCGGCTCCTACTTCCTGAAGTTAGCTCTGCTTCATGTGCACTCTACAATCTCACCCGATGACTCGTCATCACCTGAAAAATTGCCTGAAATAGTTCGTCAACTATTCATGTTCATAGAAGCATGTCAAACTAAAGGGGAATTGAAACATCCACTCATTCCCTCTATTGATGTTTTCGCAGAAGATAAAGGTAAGCTCATCGAACGAGTGCCGGCGGGATATTTGAGAATGAAAGCTGTGAAAGCGGTACTAGCCCGTCTAGATGACGGTCCGCTGGTAAGTAACAGCGGACTGCTGCAGCTTAGTGCTGAGGAGGTGTGGCAGCAGATGCAACATTCGTTATATATAGACATCAACCATTCGTGGTTTCTAAATGGTTGGAATCAGCTTTGTGATGCATACGATAGAGCCAATGTCACCTACCATCAAGACGGCTAAAAGTGGTTATATAACGTTAGGTCAATGTCAATTACGATTATACAATAAATGTATTATGTCTTTTATACGATAATTTATTTTATAAATTAATTATGTCAATCATACGATAAAGCCAATGTCAAGTACGATTATGTAACGTCAGACCAACCTCCTGGTAGTGAGGCATGATGACGCGACACAGTAACAGATGTTTGACTTGTAGTTTAAGACAGATGTTGGAACGATCAAGGCACATTATCTGCGCACGTTTATATATACTGGCACTACACCTGAGCCAGTGTGAGTAGGCTTCATAAGACAATATAATTAACTCCATGCAGGTTTGTAATAAATACAGGCGACAGGTGACCCTTATACGGGTGTGCCTACTAGCACGAGTTTGACTGCATCTGGTTCAAGTTTTGTCTCATTTCTTTCGTGAGCGGTCGATTCTGCCGTCCTGAGAGCTTATCCTTTATTAACACTTGTGAGAGAGCACATCCTATATGTTATAAAGAGAACAGCGAGAATCCTACCGATTACGTCAACGTAAATAGTAATAAAAAAAAAATCCACTTTTCCACAAAATATAAGTAATTCTGTTCACTTTTTATGGTTAAATTGCTGCATTATACTTCTTATTTTACTATATTGTTCGATGTGAACATACACTCGTCACTCATACATAGCCCATAGCAAGCAATTAACGTTAGGAATACTACTATCAAATCGCCTAGGTTTTTTGGATTTTGAATTTGACGATACGTTTAGTCCCGTTAGTTCTTAATTTTAATGTAAAAAAAGTGACAACAAACATTTTACAAATTTTACCATAGAAAATTCGTGACGTAGTCATTTCCTCACGATGAAGGCGGTAATGAAAAACAGAACTGTCTCTGTGTGTCTGTGTCAAACGTGCGTCTGTGTGCGGGGGCGGAGAGGCAATATATCAATAACCTCACATCGAATAGCTTTAATGACACCATGAATCATAATCGCCTAAATGTCTGTTCCTTCCTCTCTTCCTCCCTCGATCCCTCCCCTTCTCTTCATATGCGCCTATGAAAGTACGTGCGTGTGCGTTTGCATGCGTGCTTGTGTCCGGTTGTGTCCGTAAGTGCGTAAGTACATGATATTTGATAAAACATACAAAATATCAGCATGCATACACGGACAGCCACGCCACTACGATGCGTGTCTATCTGCTAACGAACAGGCAGGCAATCATGAAGTATTCACTCGGTCGTCAACCACTCAGTTGAACCTAGTTTATTGAAATTATCAACGTATTTACACGATATACCGTTACACACACAGTCGCACACGACACGTTCCGTTTCCACTGATCTATAGCAGCAATCGCTTAATAGCTATTATTTGCCAAACATACCTATTTGCCAAACATATTATTTGCCACACACGCACGCACGTACATCACGCATGCGAACAAACAAACCATACGTCACGCATACGATGCAACACAAAGTGAACCGCCACTACGTGCGTGACGTTCTGATAGTAGTGGAGCCGCCATAGTAGAACCTGCAAAAACGGCAATGGTCAGAGACCATCACAAGTCAAACCAAACGTCCATCATCACTTGAATCTTAATAGAACCAACAGCTAATAATACTTATAATTATTGGCTCTTGATAGAACGGTATTAGAAAACCCGGTATGTTGACGCTGTCACTATATAAATATTATAACGACATTTACTCATGTGTGTATTAGTAGGGCGGAGAGAGAAAGACAGTCATGGGGAAAGAGCTAGACAGAAACAGTGGGTACGAGAGAGGCAGATAGAAACGAAGAGAGTGAGAGCGAAAGGCTGGAGATAGAGAAAGCGAGAGAGTGAAAGAGAGAAAAAGAGAGACAGAGAAAGAGTGAGAGACAAACAAAGAGAGAGGGAGAGGGACAGAGAGATAGAGAGAAAGAGAGAGAGAGAGAGGGTTGGAGGGAAAAAATGCAGACATATTTACAAAGTACTAAAAATCCTCCTACAAAGCTGAGGCTGGCTAAACCGATTAATAAACAGGGGATATAGTTTTTACATACCTATACATAATCCACATCAACAATTGATAATAGCTAAAATCGTTTGGTTCTCTTTACAAAGAATCACAACACGAATGAAAATGCCAACACACGCACATTGTTCACTGCTACCCTCTTCTAGCTTTTTGCGCAATACAGCAGCAGTACATTTGGGGAGGTGGGCAACAAGAGTATGAGTGTGTCATTGTTTCCACGTCGATTGCTTGCTCTTTTGTTGCCGGAAGTAGATGACCTTGACTCAGATGTTTATGACCTTGGCTTAGATGTTGATGATCTTGGCTTAGAAGTTGATGACCTTGGCTTAGAAGTAGACAACCTTGGCATCTGTGGGACTCTGTTCGACGGGGCAGTACGGACATTTCACCCTGCTCGAGACAAACGCAACACCGACACACGATTTAGAGAAAGATGACGTGTACACAAGCATCAGATGCTAGTGAAACATATAGGGATGAAGGAGATATATATCATACAGGGCTACTAATGTAGAAAATAACAGGGATGATTATTGCGCTACTGTTAGACAATGAGTGAGACAATGAGCGGAGGACATACTTGTTTCCATTCGCTAGCTTGTTAAGGGCATCTCGTGAGATGATGTGGCCGCAGATAAGACGCATCGGAGGGTTGCTATCTGTGCTTTGTTGACGTAGGATGGGACACGCAAAGATTGAGTGGAAGCGATACTCGGCTCCTAGATTCACCTCCACCTAATGAGAGCGACAGACAGCAGCCATAGAATCAACAAACGAGAAAACTTTTTACCTAGATATGCAATTAAGCCCCCTCGTTGGTGCCCACTAAAAATAGATAAATAAGTATTATATATATATCGATCTATCCTTGTATATATACATAGATAGATCAACGAACATGGTTGTCACCAAAAACGACCTTCATACGTTATGTAATATCGGTTGTCACATAACTCAATTCTGAATGTGTTTTTTTTACATATTTGGGTCACAGTTTATAAAAATCACAATAAACAATGGAATGTGAGTTCAATTGTTAGTGATCCGGATGTGTGATAAGACTGAGAGGGAAAAAAGAGAGCGAGAGAAGGAGGAAAAGATTGATAAAAATAAAAGAGTGAGTGAGTACGGAGTTGAGAGTTAGGGAGGGGAACAGGTAGAAAGGAAAAGGGGGAGAAAAGAAGGAGGGAGAAATGGGAGAGAGAGGGGGGGGAAGAGGAGAAGAGGGACGGAGAGAGAGAGACAGAAAGATAGAGAGAGGGGGAGAGAGGGAGAGACAGAGGGAAGAGGAGAGGGGGATATAGGAATCGTAATACGACACTCACTGGTAGCTCGTCCTTGTTGCTCCACACATCTGTACACTGTCGCTGCAACATCACCTGCTTAATATTGAGCAGCGCTGGCAACGCCTTGCATCCCGCATTGATGCTGAAACACATAATCAGTCGCAATACACCACCGATACCCTGCAGCCACCACACCGCCCCGTCGTGCCATCTACCACTCTGTGCATTCAGACGACGTAGGGAAAGCAGGTATTAAAGCAGGGTAAAGCTGAGGCTATGTGAGTAATGCAGTTGCTGAGTAGATTCCCACAGCCATTGCAAGGTAGGGATAAGGTCTCTCTCTCTCTCTCTCTCTCTCTCTCTCTCTCTCTTCTCTCTCTCTCTCTCTCTTCTCTCTCTCTCTCTCCTCTCTCTCTCTCTCTCTCTCTCCTCTCTCTCTCATCTGGTCTCTGCTTGTTCTCTCGTCTGTCTCTCTCTATACTTCTCTCTCTCGTCTCTGTACTCTCTGTCTCTCTTGTCTCTCTCTCTCTCTCTCTCTCTCTCTCTCTCTCTCTCTCTCTCTCTCTCTCTCTCTCTCTCTCTCTCTTTCTCTCACTTTCTCTCGCTTTCCATCTTCTGGACACACACTCTCTCTCTCTCTCGCTCTCTTTCTCACTCTCCAACCCTCCCTCACTCTCTCCACGCATGCGACCTACCCGAGGGTAAGAGGGCTCTCTATGGAGAGACCCAGCAGAGCGCAAGCATCCCTGGTGAACACGTCACAGATGTCGGCCCACTGGATCGGCTGCAGTAGGTGAGCGTACGGCGAGTTGTCCACGCCACTGTTCACGTACAGCAGACTCCCCATCAGCTGCTGAATCTCTGAATGATAAACAACAACAACAACAATAACAAAACAACTACAACACAGTGCATGTGGGTCACTGCCAGGGTTCGAATTTTGGCTGAAAATCTAGTGGACAGCAGGACCACCAACTTCAGAAAGTCGGTGGTCCTACACAAATGATGGTGGTCCGCTTATTCACTAGCAGTGAGTAACAAAATGGTATATAAAAATAACCATTTGCATTACCAGCATACATCATATGTAACATAGAGTTGGTCAAATAATATATTTCAAGCTCTAGGAATGTCGGGGGAGCTTCTCGGAAAGGTTTTACTTTCATTTTTCTCCTCCCCAGTCCTGGGTACCCCCATGCATAGATCAATGCTGCCGCACATCCGCAAAGTTACAAGTGCCTAGAATCAATTTAAATAGTCCACTTTCTACATAAAGAAAAGTGACGAATTCAATTAACAGCTTTGATTACGTGCGTGTCAGGTGTCACTAGTCGTGCCATCACTCCCCACAATAACCAGTCTACGTTCAGGAACGGAGCGTATTAGAATGCGCTCCCATTTACAAGTGCCGCCTAAGTGTTGTCTAAACTGCCGTTGCGATAACCGTAGTACTTCAGCGTAATATTAGGTGGAAAAGTGCGGGTCAGGAGGACCGGCAGTTTCATAGAGGTGGTGGCCGAAGCAAAAACTTGGTGGCCTCGGGCCTCCAGGTCGGCACTAATTTCGAACGCTGGTCACTGCTTCGACAAACGTGTAACGCGTCGGGATCCATTCCTCAAAGCTTCGCAGCACATGCACACACACAACGACAACTACAAACCACCACTCTCTCTCACACACACACATGCATGCACGCACACACACACACACAACCACAAACCACCACTCTCTCTCACACACACACATGCATGCACGCACACACACACACACAACCACAAACCACCACTCTCTCTCACACACATACATACGCACGCACACACACACACACAACCACAAACCACCACTCTCTCTCACACACATACATACGCACGCACACACACACACACAACCACAAACCACCACTCTCTCTCACA